GGACAACCAGGCAGTGTGCATAAGCCCCTATGCTTGTATTTACGGTGCCATGCAACACCAAATTTCCTGTTTCAGCCCCCATTCAGCTAATGAGTGAAATAAGATATTGGAGCCAATTTGCTTTTAAGCATCAGCAACTGCTATGCTTGGTCCTGTATATGTATTTCTGTGTACTACAGTTCTGAATGAAGGTAATTCAAATCCTGTGCCAAGAAAAGTCTAATGCTATTACCACTATTTGTAATAAGCAGCAAGCATAACGCATATTTCTACATACGGCACATCTTTGCCTCAATAATTCATGAGCAAAAATGTTACATAGATACAAACAGCAAAGTCCTATAGATGACCAAATGTCCTACTGAACTTCTGTAAGCTTTTGTATCAAAATGTATTTTTTAAAAGTTATATGAGATACTGAAATGGAGAGTTTGAGAATTCACACAACCTGCTTAGTCATTATTATTCAAATTCTCTTGAACCTAACTTTATTAGTGAAGGTTTATTTTGTCTACTATGCACTCTCACTGACATTTGGGGAGGGTATTATTTGCTCTTTTACCTCACACACCAAAATGTTTTGTCCTCGAATCAGTTATGATTCTCCTTAGGAGAAGACACACCACCATAGTTAAAGATTGTGGAATGATTCAGGTAGTTCATGGTTGATTTCTGTAATCTTAAAGCAGATTGCTTTTTTTCAGCCTTGGTCTTAAGATCTTCATTATGTAGGAAAATAATTGTCATGAAATCATAACCTGATTTCTATAATAACAGCCATGGTTTATGCTTTGAATAAACATAGAATTTGTAGCTTAGTCAACAAACTATAGTTAAAACAAATCTAGCATAACACAATGTGTGAACCTATTCCCGACCTCCTTAATAGAATTGTTGAAAGGATTACAACCAAACTATGTGTGTGAATGATTTCAGTTGATATATGCAATGGAAGTTTAATTTGTAATTAATTATAACAGTACAATAAATTAAATACCCTTATTCAAATATATATATTCATAAAGATGGGTTAACCAGTCATCACAGTAGAAAAAACTGTTGATTGTTTGAAGTTTATATTTCATTGTGCAACTGGCCACTAAAATCACCATAGGTTAAGGAAGTTATCCATTCAAAATGGCTGATCATAATTTAATATCTTAAGTTCTCTTGTATTACTTGGCAGTCATTGGACCTTTGCCATGTACATCATAAAAGAGAAAATATAAGCAACATGAAAATGTTATTACCAATACCATATTATTTTTGATAAGGATATTTATTTATGAGATGTATAGGCCACCCCAATATTTTATAATTCTGGGCAATACTATGCATTACACAGTATTATATAATCATAATTTCTGCTTTTCAGATGATCTAACTTTCTGTGATTTCTTATTTCTTGACCATCATTTTTATTTTTCCTTCCATATAGAGGAAAAGAGAGAATTTGGGGAAAATGCTGATTGCTTTAAGTTAATCTTTTTTTTTCTTTTTCTTTTCAGCATTCTGGATGCAAAATAACTCCAATAAAATCTCCATATATTTCCTGCTATCTTCTATTTCCTTTATCGATGCATTCTCATTCCTTCAGGGGTATGCAGCAAAGATGAAAACTTGCAAAAACCAGTACTGTTTACCAATTTTGAGTCACAGACTGTAGATGATTATATTGCCTAAAGTAAACAACAAAACAATTGCCAGATTGAGAGATTTTCTCAGTCAGTGAAACCGGATGGATATAGGAAAATGTAATGATTTAAGAAGCATATGTACTGTAGCTATTACATTTGTGTTCTTCCATGACAAGACCTCAGGCACACACTTATCCTCACAACACATAACTTACTATCAATCCCCCTTTAGCCACATTATGGCAGAGATAAAATATTGCAATCGCCCTAGGACCTGCATTTGGACATGCCCTAATGCAGCATTTGGAAAGGAAAACACCTGCATTTTCCTCATTATTTGCATTATGGCATATACAGTATTATTTCTCTCCACTTTGAGGATTGGGAGAGTAATAACTAAAAATGAGAAAACTAGAATGACATTCTAAATATTTATCATCTCTCCACATAGATCCCTAAAATATTTTCATTACTGAACTTCATTCTATTTTATATATAGCAAATCCCTGCCTGGGGGTGCTTACAGTAATGGCAGAGTTGAATTTCAGAAATATCTTAATATCTCCAGCTGATCTCATTTACAACTGATGAAGCAGAATGCTGCATCTGTTGGCATTTATTCATATACAGGATCACTGAAAAGAGCTGTTTCAGGGTGCCACTTGTGCCAAAGAAATCCTATTGACAAGTCCTAATTTGTACCGACGTCACTTAGTTTTCTCTGTTGTGTAAGGACTTGTAAAATGATGGAAGGAAGGAAGACAATTGTCATGGGGAGGGCGGGGGAAGGAAGCAAGTTAATATTAAATAAATGTATTTACGAGAGTATGAAGACAAGAAGCCCAAGAAGAGAACTGGTTACTGGATAGAATGTAGTCAGGGCTGCAGGCAAAGTCAGACAACATTAAGTTCAAAATGGAGTGTGTGCAATGTATTAAGGACAAGACATCAGTTCAAATAATCCTGATTTCTAATTTTTTTAAAGTTTTTATAAAGGAGCAAAGGAATAAGATTCTCTGACTGCAATAGGTGCATCAGTTATGTCTAGAAAACAGTGTTTCAAGATTATAGCTCACAAATCCAGAAAAATGATGCAACTGAAAAAAACACTGGGGTTCAATGAGGTCCATTTATATAGCCATTTGGGCACACAGTCATATCAACATATTGCTGCTTGTATGAGCTCTCTGCTTATGGTTGTCATGTCAAGCCCTAATCCACCCAAGTAAATAATGGTCACATTCTGATTATCATTATTATAAAACTTATATAATGTTATAATTTTAGAAACACGATGACAATATGATTTCAAGACATTCCTAATAGCCCTGGTTGAATCAAACTCCAAGAAAGCATAAGGAAAGACAAGTGATCTTGGTTTCAGGTTATGTATCTAAGAATGCTATATAATCGGAGACACAGTTCATCTTTTTACTTTGGCTTGTTCCTTTAAATCAAACGTATATTTTAAAGCCTCTTTTTAATCACAGAGCACATTTAATCACAATCCCAGATTGTTGTTTATGAGCAAAAGGACAGCTCTGATGTTTACCCATAGGTTTTTCTCTAACAGAACCATTCATTTTAAACTAGACATTCCCAACCTGGTGCCCACCAGATGCGATAGGATTGCAGTGGGCAAAATTCCTAGCCAGCATGGAAATTTTAGGAGCTGCAATTCTAAAACACCTGGAGGGCATCTTGCCGGATAAGGTTCAGTACTCTGTGAAGCAAGAAACATAGCTTAGCTGAAAAGAATGTGGCATAACCCTGTGTCCTAGGCCTCCACCGATCTTGCTTGGTTCTATGTCCACACTGACTTCCAAATTCCTAGATTAATAATGGAAGAATTGCAGATCCCTAAAATAACACTCAAGTGATAGATAGAAGCCTTGATTTCCCCTGCTGCTAATTTTAATTGACTGCTCGGGTAACAGCAATTTCAAAAGGGAGGTTGAAAGGCGGATGAAAAAAGGCAAGATGACTGTTCTGCCCCCTCTCAAATAGTTATACTATTCTTCTTTGAAGAACAAAAAAGAAGCAGCAGCACTAAACAGAATGCCTTCCCTTTCTGGAGACTCTTTGGGCATCATGGTGATGAGGCGCATCAAACAGCCCAACCTCACTTAAAAGAAAACCAACCAACCATTTTTTAAAAACACCAAAAACCAAAGCACCACTACTTCCACCCTAAAAAAGCAATGCAATTTCTCTTCAAGAGAGAATGGTGCAGACACCAAAAGCCTGAAAGGTCAGTCTCACTGCGTCACCACAGTTGCAAAACACCCAAGGGGGTGGGGGGGTGGGGAGGAGGTGATATTGTTTGCCTGTTTGCCCCACAGGCCTGTCAATCCTGCAGCAATCGAATCAATCCATCAAAGTCTACATGTGGGGTGGAAAGAAACAATCCTTCGGCCACACACTCGCCTCCCCCTTCCTCATCAGCTGACAGCGGTGTAGCCCGAACTCATTTCAGTGCCCAGGCAGGGCAACGCACCTGCCCATTGCGGGATGCAGCCCAGGCCAAGTGCAATGCCGGGAGGAACGGGGTAATAATCATATTAGCAGTACTACTAGTAGCATGAACAGTAATAACGATGCGACGGTCGGAAAGAAAGAAGGGCACAAGCACTTGTGAAGCACAACAAGTTCCCCACTCGTGCCAGCTCCAGGAGTCCCCGACAGCCTCTCAGACGTGCCCGTAATACCTACACGGCATCCAGAAACAGCCAGACTTTGGCTCCCTCTTTTCCAGCCTCAATCCACCGGGAGCGGGGACGGTGGGAGGAAGCGGGGGGACGCGAGGGAAGATGCCGAAGGTCCGCCCCAGGCACGTCCTTTGCTGCGTTTCTTTTTTTTTTTCCGCCGGGGAGGGAGGGAGGGAAGGAGGGAGGAGGGCTTACCTGCGTGGCTCTGCCGGCCGGTCCTTAGAGTCGGAGGCACAGGGAGACCGTCCCCCCCCCCCCCCCAGAGGGAGAGAGAGGGGGCCCGAGAAGCCAGCCCTCAGGCGGTGTTGGTTTCTTCCCCCCCCCCCCCCCCCCCCTCTTTCCACTCCCCACTTTCAAAGCCAGCCAAGCGCTCTAGCGGGCCCGTCGGTTTCTTCCGGCGAAGCTGCGGCGAAAGCTGCTGCTTCGCAAAGACTGCGGGCGAATCGCTCCCCTCTCCCACCCTCCTTCTCGCCACCGGCCGGCCGCCAACCTCTCTCTTTTTTTTTTTTGGCTGGTTTCTATGGCAACTGGATAATGCTCAGCGCATCCTGCCTGAGGGGACCGTCGCCCCCGCCCGCTAGCCCAGCGCGCGTGCACGCGGACGCCCGAGCCCCCGTCTAGGCCCGGGAGGGGGCTCGCCTAAGCGAAGGCTTACCGGCTCGCGGGTGGTGGCGGCGGCGGCGGCGGCGGCAGCAGGCAGCAGCCCGTTCGAATCCTCTCCAGATTTTCCCCTCCTCCCCCCCCTCGCGATCTCGTGACACGCGCGTGGGCGCGTGACTACAGAGAGGCCTGGGACACGTGTACGATGCTTCCTCCGAATGACCTGTAAGGACACCGGCCCGGTTCCGCCAACCTAGAGCACCTGCTTTTATTCCACGGGGACTAAGCGTCTTACCTATCCCCGCCTACCCCTTTCCCCACGTTTCCGTTTCAGATTGGTACCAACGCGTCCAAGCTCCAAATTGCCGGCGACGCTTCCTCCGCAAGACTGTAAAAAGGGGGGGGCCCCCCCCCCCCCCCCCCCCCCAACCCAGCCCCACAAGCAGGTTGGTTCCTAGGCGAGGCTAAGGATACTCTTTGCGGATAGCTTAAGAAAAATGAAGATCCTGGGGTCTCTTAGTAGTGGTCCAGCCACGCTTAAGGCACCTACAAGATTCTAGGCCACAAAAATAATTTCTCGCAAAATAAGAAGGCATTAAATAAGAGTCTGGTTGACAGCCCTGAAAAAAAGGAATGTGGAACACAGCAGAAGAGATGGAGATACTTGTGCGATTGGAATTGGGAAAATATTGATCTCCCAAAGAAGAGTGTGACAGGCAGGGAACATGTTATGGATCAGAACCATGAGACTCAGAGACCCAAAATTGTACCCTAAAGCATTTCCAACACTGCTCCTTAAGATTTTTTTTTTTACTTTTCTATAGAACTGTTGCCTTTTCTCAGATACTCCTGCAGAAACTCACAATCCAAGATTTTTGGGATAAACCAGTCAGAAGTTTAGTCTTCCAAGCTTTCAGACTCATGCTGGAGCCCATCACCAGCACGCATCTGAAAGCTCAGAAGACTAAACCTCTGGTTCCGGTGACCAACACAGATTGGATCCTGGGACACATATATTTGCTTTCATTCGTGAAACCAGTCAGAGGGATTGCCTGATTGAGGCAGAATTGGAAGCTGGACCACAGAACCTTCCAAATATCTTCGGCAAATGCAGAATATGTGCAAAAATTCCTCTGAAAGTTGTTTCTGAAGGGAAAACAGATAAAACAATTTGCCTGATGGATGTACTATAGGTTTGTGTCAACTTGTTGCTATTTCTGTACAGTATGCTAACTATTTCAATTTCTTTTCTGGAGCAGAATTCTGTATGTGGGAGGATAATAGCTGCTGACCTTGGAGAATGATGTGTGGAATGGGTGCTAATACAGTAGATTAATGAAGATATAGCCTCTGCCTTTTCAGTTACAGGAATCAGTAACCAGATAATGGTGATATAGCTATGCGATCTTTGTGGTGAATTTGTATTATTTGATGTAACCTAACCCCAAAAGAAGTATCCAGTGGGATTTAAGCAAATGTTCTTGGAGATATTAGGAAACTTCATGGAATTATTTTCTTCCAATTACAGATATGAATCAAGATGTGGGATTCAGGCCTTGGCCTTTAAAACTATACTTATTTTCACAGGTCCACTTAATCATTAGTTTTATAAGATACTTATGCTTTTGTTCTTAAATTAAGTTGCTACAAAGCTATATGTGCGTACTTAAAAGTACATTTAATTGCACTCAATAGAGATTTTTTCTTAAAAATATAGTACAGGTAAATCTTGACTTATGACCATTCATTTCAAAGTTATGATGGCCTTAGAAAAAGTTATTTACAACCCATTTTCTAAATTACAACTATCTTATCACCCCTATCATCATGTGATTGCAATTTAGGTACCTTGCAACTGGCCCATATATATGACGGTTGCAGCATTTTTAGTTGTGATTTGCAGGTGAGTCTGACAGGCAAAGTCAATTGGAGAAGCTGGATTTGCTTAACAACTGGAGTAAAAATAGTTTGAAATTGGGTTTGGTCATGAGTGCATTCTTTAGAGACCAAAATTCCTGTCCCAACTCTGGTCATAAGTCAAGGACTATCTGTATAGGATTATTAAAGGCTAAGTACTCTTCAGCTGTACAAATGAACTCATTTATTTAAAGGAACCAGCAGAAATAAAATATGATAAAACTATCTGCCTAGTCCCTTTCCCAACAAGGATGTTTTAGGACAGGGGTGTCAAACTTGTGTCATCATGTTGTTGTCACGTTATGTATTGGAACTTTCCCCTCCTTCGCTAAAATGCGGGTGGGGGTGACCAGCGAATGACATATCCGGCCTGCAAGTTTGACAACCCTGCTCTTGGACATCATCGGGTGTTTGATTTGAGTTAGTGTTTAGTAACAGGTACAAAGATGTTCCTTTGTACCAGTTACATAGATAATATTGTGAAGAACTACTTTATCTAGTTTTTTGAAATCCTGCTTTGAATTTGATTATTTTATTAATTTATTTACTACTTTTCTCCCTTTCATCACTTTCAGCTGTCAGTGTGCTTTGCATCACAACAGCTTATATTTTCTTTATTCTGGAGTGATTGTGGTGGTACAGACTAATCATCAAGTTTATTTTATAATAATTATTGCCACCAGTTGTGGAACTGCCCTTCTTTGTATTCCTTTATTTCCAGTGCTAACTATGGCTATCTATTCCTGTCCATTGTTTTTTTACTTACCTTATCACACAATTTGCCTATCATTGTTCTCCCTTTGAAACAAACCACAAAGCATTATACGAAGTGCTGGCATGGAATTCCGCCAATAATACATAAATGAAGATTTGAATTTGAGTTCCTGCATCCAAGCCAAAGTTATCATCAATTGTTACTTGAATCTGTTCACTGATCACATTCTCTTCTCTTTGTATAAAAGGGCAAATACAATAAGTTAAAAATTATTTAAGATAACAAGAAGACATCTTGGAAACAATTTATTCAAGCTTTAAAAACTCTGTGCTATAAAAGCTGTTTCAATGCATTCTATAATCCCTGAGCTAGCTATCCCTTCTCCATTGCACTATGAAGGCACACAAATGGGAAGGTCAGCCTAGAATTTGACAACTATGATGGAATCTTCTCTAAAGGTTACAGCTTTTCTACAAATTAGAAAGCTAGCAAAAGCATTTTTTGTTCTAAGGGGACATCTGACAAATATTCTCACCCTTTTCTTTCAGTTAGCTAAGTGGAGATTACAGATCTAATGTCATTATCAGGCGGAGCAATAAAACTTGCCCTTAGAATCAGCTGCAGTAATGATGCAGTTCTCTTAAGGAGGGTTATTTTCACAAGCACTAAGATCAAGTTGCTTTAAGAACATACACCATATCCCTTGTGGCTTTCTTTCTCTCTCTCTCTCTCTCTCTCTCTCAGGTAAAGTCTCGTCTTTCTTCTAAAGAGTTCATTTGTCTTCCTAATGAAACACAATGGGGTATTCAGTCTTTCTCTGTGTCCTTGTTTTCCAGATTCCTAGTTTAGCAAGAGAGGCTGTGAAATACACACACACACACACACACACATCTATACATACATACATACATACATACATACATACATACATATATATATATATATATATATATATATATATTTGTTTTCTGAGGTTTTTGCGGGTGTTTGTATGTAGGTCTTTGGTTATTTGGGTTTTCTCCTGCGTGCATGAAATCCCATGCACCACCTGCCCACCACTACAAACCAACAGAAGAATAAGTGCACGCATTGAAGAACACAAGAACTCAGTCAGAAAAGAGGAACCAACTTCTTCCCTGGTCCAACACTTTAAAGCCACAGGACATGAAATTGACTTTAAAAAGACCAGAACTATTGCCAAAACTGAACACTTTAACAACAGAATAATCAGAGAAGCCATCGAGATAGAAAAACGCCCACACAGCATGAATAAACGAGATGATACCTCCCGCCTACCAGCCATTTGGAAACCCACCCTTATTGACAAACGAGTCCCTAACACAAAGAATGACACCAGACCCACACTCACGAAAACCACACAGGATGTCACCACCACACATCCATGCAAAAAGCAAACCAAAACCCACACCGATGATGAGGCACGATCACAAACCAGAAGCCAGACCACAGCTGCATCATTAGCCACTTTAAACTCCTCCAATCCACACATGAAGCAAACTGACACCCACCATGAAGATGTGGCACGACCACGAACGCGAAGCCAAACAACAGCAACATAGCTCACCAGCTCAAATCCCCCTGCAACTCAGACTAACCCGAGCACAGCCAACCCCCCATCCAATCAGAGCACAGCCAAGCCTCCACCCAATCAGAACACACCTCCACCCAATCAGAACACAGCCAAGCTCCCACCCAATCAGTTCACACCCCCACTGGCAGTTAAAAGGAAGAAACAGCTGTGATCACACATTGCTTCTAGAAGCACAAAGCCGAAAACACCAGCCTGAAGATGATGAATGAGACTTCGTTGAAACGTCGCCAAGACACTTCCAATTTTACGCGGGAGAAAACCCGAATAACCAAAGACATATATACATATATATACATATACATACATACACACACACACACACACACATACACACATATATTCTGAGGTTTTCACGTGTATTTGTATGTAGGTCTTTGGTTATTCAGGTTTTCTCCCGCGTTTTGTTGAAATTGAAATAGTTCCAATTTTATGCGGGACAAAACCCAAATAAGCAAAGACCTACATATATATACATATATATATGTGTGTGTGTGTATATATATATATATATACACACATACACATACATACATACATACATACATACATACATACACACATACATATACCCACACACAGGAATTTGAGAAATTTGTCACCATCTGCCTTCCATTGCTTTGTACCTTTGCTAATTAAAAACTACTACTGTAATTTCTTACATCTGGTGTCCTCTTCCTTTATTCTTGTGGCACATCTTGCTTACCTATTATTTTAATCAAAAACCTTTCTAAAAAATCTCAGAGCTTTTCCTTGGATTTTTCATTTCAGAGAAGCCACTGTGCTATTGCCTTTAAGCAGGAAGTTTTAAAAAAAGCATGGAGGGGAGGAGAAGGGACGTTAACAGAATGTTCTATTTCTCAGGTAACTGGGAAAGAGGAAAAGAACTGCTTTGGTCATGTAATTGTATAATACAGGCACTGCATAAGTGCTGTGTGTGCATTTGCTACACAGTCCCTTGTGCCAGTTTAATTTATTGATGAATTAATAGATATAAGTAAGTGAT